TTTAGTGAGTACGGGGAATTTCTCGAATAAAGCGTGAAATTTATCGTCACGCGAGTAAAAAGTGCCGAGGATTCGGTACGCGTTCATGTGGGCTTTACAGCCCATGAATTTGCTGTTCGACGAAGTATCGATTAGCTGCAGCCTACGTGAATCGACAAGCAATTCATAGTGCTGTAGGAAATCGATACCTAGTATGGCTGTGGGAACATCAGCAATGATGAACGTCCACAGATACCGTCGTCGGTTGCCCAGGTTGACCGCGAGTTGTCGTGTACCGTAGGTAAGAATGACTGAGCCATTCGCAGCGCGTAGTCGAAGCACTGTGGCTTGTGACTTGCTGCTACCTCGTGGTACGACAGAAACTTGGGCCCCAGTGTCTACTAGGAACCTAGCGTTCGTGCGGTAATCGTGCACATAGAATAGGCGACCAACCTGGGGTGAAGGGCCGGCGAGTACGGCCGCTTTTACTCGCCGGCGCTGGCGTTTCCCGCCTTGTATGAGCATGGTGCTCGACAACGGCGGGCGCCAGACCCGAATGACCTATGGAACCAGCACCAACTATCACTCGCTTCCGTAGCCGCCTTCCGGCGTGGCTTGGAAGATGCCCTTTTTGGGCGAGTGGTGACGCGTTTGCGAGAACTTGAGCGAGCTCGGGGGACGTAGGGTTGGGGTACGTTACAACGGTCTCGAAAACTAAGACGTGTGTGGATACACCCGTCCCTGTCGCCATGAGCTGAGGAATGACCGGCGTCCAAGTCTACTTTAGGACGTGCCGTTGAAGCAACTACATAGGTATCTTTATTGCTAGTCCTCGCTAAAATTTTATCTGCTATGAGGGCTACCTGGTTAAGCGGTGAGTCCTCGAGCAGTGCCGTCATAGTGGGTTGGATATGTGCTGGTAGTGACTCTAGCCACAATTCCTTAACTATTTCTGAGTCACTTGCTGTTGGTCCTGCAAGAGATTGCAGGCGCGTGAGGTGGTGGCTTGGTTTAGCATCACCCAGGGGGTGACGTGCTAACAGTGTCCTCAATCGTTCCTCCCTCGATGGGAGGAAATGTCGGAGAATTGCCTCTTTGAGGCGATCATAAACATTAGGTACGTTAGAATTGAGGACAACCTCACGAACAGCTACTAAGTGGTCCCCGGGTAATGACTCGAGAGCGTAGGCGTATTTTCGCCTTTGGCTCGTGATGCGACGAGTCTCGAACTGAGACCCTAACGCAGCAAACCAGACCTCAGGGTCGTGGGGGATAAATGATACAGGTCGAAAATGAATGGCCTGTACGTCTGAGTCTATAGCATTAATAGTATTCTTCTCGCTATCCGTCATGTCGTGTATATTATATATTAAAAATTAATATGAAAATATACGACAGACGTGGATAGATATATAATAGACTCACCAAATTGGCTTCTTTGGAAGATTTGACCCGAGGTTGAGGCGTGTTCCAAACTTTGGGGTCACCAATTGTAGCGTGGCGTCGAGTTGAGATTAACTGTGAACACCGCTACCCAGAAACACGTGCCAGACAAATCAGAAGGCGAGGATCGATCGTAACCAGATTTATTTCGTTGGCGATCTCGTGGTATTGAACGAATACCGAGATCGTGCCAAGGAATGGTACAAGTGAAAGCAGAAGACGGGAGTACGTGCGAGCAGTACCAAAAACCGCGGAACAATAATGGAAGGTAATGGAAGCACAAAATGGCTATAATTAGCACAGTTAAACAAAAGCACGTTAAAACAAACACTGGTACAGTTGGTTATAATAATAATTGTTTTTATTAAACCAGTCGTGTTCTCGTGATAAACGTGAGTCACTACAAATATACGAGGATTGGCAGCATGTGTATTTCAATAACAAGCAGCAAACGATCTAGCTGGAGTCGACTGTATGACCACTAAAACGCTATTTCATGTATGCGAAACTCATGCATGCCAGTTTATTTTCCTTTTTCTCCCGTTTTATGTCCTTTTGCACGTAGGCGTGCAATTTGACACGTACTCACACATCCTTTCTCTTTTCCAGGACGGCTAGAGATCATGAAAAAATCGACGACGTTAAGGATATATCGAAATGTTATTGTACCTGTTTTTCATTATTATATTGTACTACTTTGTCCCTTATATTACTGAGAGACGGCTAAACGCTCTTGAACATAGCAAGCTATCAGAATAGTGTTTATGAACGACAAACACATCGGGTTCGAACTTTTGAATGGTTATTTCTTTGGGTCATAACAGCCTCACTGTGGAGAGAGTGATTTGTAGAGGTAAATAAATCCCCATATACAATAACTCTGTAGGACTTCGACACTAAATACTGAGTGCATTAGTTTTACTAGACTCACCTAACTGAAGGTATCCGATCAAGCATCCGCACCAGGTCACAAGTGTATGCCATGCTAAACATCCCTTGCAACATCTGGCCAGCTTGGACCAAATCTTCCTCCACATACCGTCAGCCTTTGGAATATATCTTCGAACTCCTTCATTTCTGACTTCTGATTTGACTGGGCTGGCATACTTCGATTATAAAAAACGTATCGGGCAAAGGTGTTGTCAATCTCCGTATACTTACGGCGTCATTAAATGTATCAAAAGCAAAGGTATTAAACCAAGATTCAACATATCTGAGCACATTGGTCTTCAATCCTAGTTGGTTATGAGTACCACTGTTGATGGACTTGGATTGAACGCTTTTTCAAGTTCGTAGGACACGCTTGGTGTTTTTTGGTAAGTCCGATATCAGATATCGAAAAGCACTTGAAGTGCAGTCATCATCTCTGATGGTCTGAAAACAGTTTGTCATAAATTTCTTCAACGCCATGCTAATTTGTTCCTCCCGGTATATCAATTTTTGTAGACGTAGTTCAACGTCATTACTCCTTTGAAGAAATGAATTAGCGATTTCACTTCCTTCACATACCATCATTATCCATTTTATGGAGTATATATTCTCATTGCAGTTGTTTTTAGGTTTTGCTGCTATTAATACAAAGTAAATTACTGCTAAATTGAATTGTTGAATATTGGGCTTTCGTTAGAAAGTTGACTGGATGAAAGCAAGTTATGTATTTTTCAGGAGTATTGGTCGCATTTTATTGACCTTTGTGTTATATGTCGACCTGTTACAATCGAGGGGCTTGGCAATTTCACTGTTGTCCTAAGTCTACGAACTTTGTCATATACTTTTACCAAACTCATCTTATAGAACAAAGGAGGTATTAATTGATAGTGAATGAAAACGCAAAGATCATGCAATTTACTTACATGCAGCAAGCTATTTGTGACTGCCACCAAGCATACATTAACACTGCTAACAAGCAAATAAAAAATTCTTGATGTTTAAATTTTAAAACTTTCTAGTGTATAAATATTGTTGTTTTGGTACTGTTCCTAAACAAAACGTTGTTTTCCACAGACCCCGGCCGATGAAGATTTCCTTCCCATCCTCAGACATTGGGGTTGCATTTCATGCCAACATGCACCGGTTGCCACCTGATGTTTATATACATCCGGGTAGGCCACACGACACCAGGATAAAGTACAAAGGTCAGTTGGGGCCAACTATTCCACTTGTGGACTGCCTAGGTCATAAAAACCCAGAAAACAATGTTGCTTCAATTTTGGAAAACCTTATGTGGGTAGGTTACCTGTCTATTCACACAAGGGTCATACAGATAAACAGGATGGGGAAGTTCATGTGTTTCAAATTGAAACCATAAACTGCTTATGCATTAACATCGCGAGTTTACCGAATAAAATGGTTAAGCTGCGTGAACTCAGTAGTACTAATAATACTCATCTGATAGGAACATCTAAGTTTACGGACCAAGAGCTAGCAATACCCGGTATGTCTTTGTTTCGCAGTGACATAAAAACAGGAATCGGAAATGGAGTAGCCTTATATTTATGATCTTGCCTGGAGGTACATCAAATGCATAACCAAGAGTTTATCAATCTTGATGAATTCGTATTCTCTACCACATCAAGGTGTCTAATTGGAGTCAGCTACAGAAAACCTACAGCTGATATCAAGTACGACAATAGTATGCTGGAAATATTATACCGCTCTACTCGTCTCGGATTCACTCATATCCCGACTATAAGGGAATTCAGTCTTCCTAAAGTCAGTTTAGTGGAACATACGTATATTGGACCTACCTTAAACACTTCAAAGTGTAAAGAAGCCCATCTGAGACATGTTGCAGACTACAGCTACAACTTTGACAACTCCAATTTAGAAGTATCACGAGTTGAAAAAGATTTTGAAGGCTGGTACCCCATGATTTGACGTCTTACATTAACTGTGACAAAAATGCCTTTCGAGCAAACCTTGCACTGGTAACATTGAAGCTCATTTTGGCCAGTTCGACGGTAGAACTTTCCACATAGTCTTCAACAGTTCCATTCGTCCCCATTTACAATGCAGAAACATAGTAATTTCTCCCTCACTCCAGAATGATAAGGACACTTTGAAATGTACCCAACGGCGAGCCACGAAATCAGTTCGGGAACTCAAATTCAAGCCTTATGAAGAGCGCCTCCAATCACTAAGTCTCTACCTGTTGAGCTACAGGAGTCGTAGAGCTGACCTTTTAATTGCTAACAGTATCCTTAACACTTCTGGACATCCCCTGAAACACCTACTCAAGTTTAACTCCAATGCAAACGTTTGGGAGTAACACCCAGAAACTGGAAATACAACTCAGCAGAATGGCTTGTAGACATGACTTCCACTTTTTAAGAGTTGTCAACTTCTGGAATTTGTTGCCGGCTGAGTTAGTTCAAATGACTTCCTAGGAGTCCTTCACAAGAAGACTTGACATACTCTTAAGGACTAAGAATAAAATCTTACTATGATTTACCAATATCTTTTTCTTATTTTCTCTTTAATATACCTAGATTCCTGCCCTGAGTTATTGGTGACCCTATGCTACTAGACACGGAAGCCTGTTAAGTGAAAGCTTCTTCCATTCCGTCCACAACCGATTGACCCATTTGAACAATTGGAAGTAAGCGGCATATTCGAACAGGCTGCATCACTTACGATTTTCTACTAATTTCTCTCAAATAACCGACGTAAGGTGTAAAAAAGGACATTTCTTCTTGTTTACGCTTTATGTTCATGTTATGTTATTCTGAGCTATGAAGTGATGTGTTGTTGTCACTTTCATTCACCATTTTACTATTCTGTCTCAGACATATGTCTTCAATTAAAAGAAATCTTCCATGAGAATTAATTGTTTCTGCCGTTTGCTTCATATAACCATCACAACCAGTTTCATACCTTGAAAATTTTCCAATTCTCTCCTCAGAGATATTCGTAATTTTAGCTTGTATTTTAGTTCTTTCAGTTGTGATCTAGATCCATTTTTAATTACAAAACTTGGAGTCATCTAAATCCATCTGTTAGTTTGGAGCCATTTACGAAAAATTCTGCAACTTGTGGTTATTTAGAAAAAAAATGTCTCCGGAGAATATGGATAATATTTGCACTCAAGGTAATATCTGCAAAATACTCTAATGGATCCTTCAGATAAACTTGTTTCGGCACAAAAAGTTAGTAAAGCAGCTCGTCGTCGTGAAAAACGAGCTGCTCTTCAACATGCTCAACAGACAGCTGCTTTAATGAATATACAATCAGATAGATCTAATAGTCTTCGATCTGTTGAAATGAAAAAGTTAGAAAAAGAACTTTCAGCCCGTCACCTATGTTTATTTGAAGTAAGCTTTTTTATAAAGATGTGAACAAATTACACGTTTAGTATACTTGTGGTTATTTACATCACCATGAGGCTTGCTAATTTATTTATGGTGAATTATAGAACTAAGATATATTCCTGCTATACGGCTTCAAGACATGTGAAGCACCTAAGGGAACACAACCAGAATTCGGTCGGTTTTTAGTCGATCTTGATGATATAATCCGTCAAGGCTTAAGTATTTATAGTGCTTTCTGAAATTAGCCAAACTCTTTTTTGGAAACACATGAATGAAATCTTCGTTATATGTGATAAAGGTTTTGTTGTTCAGTTATTAAATAAACTCAATAAGATTCAGATTCAGATTCAGATTTGTGTAGTAAGGACAGAAGGCCTACGGCCTATGTTATTCCTTTTCTAGTATGCTTCTGTGAGTGTCCAGTCTTCTCTTGAAAGAGTCAATTGAAGGTGCGGATACCACTGCTTCAGGCAGCAGGTTCCAAGTATTGATGACTCGGTGTGAAAACCTGTATGCCAGAGGTATTTTGTTCGTTCTTGGCTTTTCTACTCGCCTACTATGTCCTCTGAGGTGTCCCGATCTAGTGGGAAGAAAGAGAGAGAATAAGTTAGGTCCGAAATCATTTCTCAGTATTCTGTACATCAATATTAGATCTCCCCTTAGTCTGCGATAGGACAGAGTAAAGAGGTTCAGTTTTTCAAGCCGCTCTTCATATGATAAACCCCGGAGTTCCGGAATCGCACGCGTAGCTGCCCTCTGTACCTTTTCTAGTATGTCTGAGTCACCTTTTAAACAGGGGCTTGCAGCCTGAACACAGTTCTCTAACTTAGTTCTCACTAAGGATGTGTATAATGTGGTGAACATGGTAGTATCAAGCTTAGTGAATGTCCTTTTTAAAGCCCAGAGGGTTCGAAACCCCTTAACTGCGACCTCCCGGCAATGGGCCGTCGTCTTAAGATCATTGCTCACGGTCACCCCTAGGTCCTTATGAGACCGGACTACGGGTAATGACACATCTCCTATGTTGTACGTATTAACCTTTGAATCCCCCAAGTGCATGTAGACACACTTTTCCGAGTTGATAGGCATTAGCCACTCTTTAGACCAGTTTATCATATTATTTAAGTCCGCCTGAAGAGTAAATGTGTCTGTGTCTCCAGTTATTACTCGCCAAATTTTTACATCGTCAGCGTATAATAACATTGGAGACTGTACTATACTTGTAAGATCATTAACGTACATTATAAAAAGTAAAGGACCTAGGACGGAACCTTGGGGTACTCCACTAAGTACTGGTCTCCAGATGGAGCACTTGGAATTTATTCTTACTTTTTGCCTACGACCTACTAGGAAATCCTTAATCCATTTTAAAAGAGGTCCGGCAATACCAAGGTTTGCCAACTTCAATAGCAGTCTATTAGTTGGCACCTTGTCAAAAGCCTTACTGAAGTCTATGTAGACAACATCCACTGAGTTTCCGTTGTCTAGCGCATTAATCCAGAGCTCCCTAGCTATAAGGAGGTTCGTTGTACAGGATAGACCCTTTCTAAAACCATGCTGTGCCATGTTCAGCAAGTTATTGGTTTCCATAAATGCTGTTATGGTCCGTTTGATTATCCTTTCCAGTATTTTAATAACAACACTGGTGAGGCTTACGGGTCTGTAATTTGATGGAACTTGTCGTAGACCAGTTTTATGTATGGGAGTGACGATTGCGTCCTTCCAGTCCATAGGTAACACACCTTGGTCAAGTGACATTTTGAATATCACAGTCAGTGGGGCTGCGATATATTCGGCAATATGTCTCAAGATTTTAGGGTGTAGTTCATCTGGTCCTGTTGACTTCTCCATGTTTAGGGTGCTAAGAGCCTTAAGCACATCGTTTTGGTCGAAGTCCACGGTGAGCAGCTGGTTTGTTGACTCTGTAATTGGGTCTGGTTCTTTCTCTAGAGGAGGTTCCTGAGTGAAAACTGCCCCAAAGTAGTCAGCCATAATCTCAGCTTTTTCATGATCTTCCTCTATCATTTCAGATTCACTTCCTACTTTAATTAGGTTGGGAATCCAGTGATGAGTCCTTGTTCTGTAGTTTATGTACGAGAATATCCTCTTGGGCTGCTTGAGAGCAGATTCTGCCAGCTGCATTTCGTATTTTCTTTGCGCTTCCCGAATTTTCGTTATACACACGTTTCTTATCGATCTGTAGTGTTCCATCGTATCTGCTGTGCCAAGGCGGATGGCAACATCCCAGCATTTCTTCTTTTGTCTTAGTAAGCGTCGAATATCCCGCCCTAACCAGGGATGTCCGTGCTTCTTTTTCTTTGGGACAGTCCAGGGTATATATGGTTGAGTTACCCGATTGTATAACTGTCTGAATAGAGTCCATGCCTCTTGTACTGATGCCTTTGAGTCAATTTCCCAGTTCTCAGCCGATGCTGCGGAGTCAATTGCCTGCATATCTGCCTTCCATATGTTAGGACGGGCCGGCGCAATTGTTTGAGAAGCAATTTCAGCCATGAATTTGAATAAGATGACTGCATGGTCACTTCTCCCAAGTGGTGGGAGAAAAGCCGTTTGACCAACGTCCTCACCGTGTGTGAAGACTAAATCTAAAAGAGAGGAAGAGTTTCTTAAGTCGTATCTTGTGGGATCTCTAATGTGTTGGAATAATGCTAGTCCAATCGAGGTTTCTAACAGTTTGGAGTCGAACGACGATATAGATGACTCTACTTCTAAGTTAACCCAGTTTATATATGGTGCATTAAAGTCGCCTACTACAAGGCTTTTACCGTTGTTACACCAGGACTTAAGTTTACTGAGGAGAAAATCGTCTGCTACACATTCTGGACTGCGATAAACTACAACTAATTCAATATCTTGCCTTCGGCATTTCAACTTACATCTCACCAGTTCACATGTCCCTGAAACATGTGCTACTGTCTCAGCTAATCTTATGGTTAGGGTACTTTTCGTGTACACAATAACCCCGCCTCCCCTTCGGTTTAATCTATCAGCCCTAGTGGTTATGAAACCAGTCAATTGGATTTCACTATCTAATACTTCTGACGTTAACCAAGTTTCCGAGACAGCGATAACGTCCGGTTTTTCTTTATCCACCACTGACTTCAGCTCCGCCATTTTATTTAGTAGGCTGCGAGCATTTGTGTAGCACACTTTTAAGTCTGTGGAGAGCTTTCCCTTGCCACCCAGAGTGGCTTGGGGATCGTTTTGCTCCGAACTTTTACAATCTGAAAACCCTTAAGAACGAGGTTTCTTTCACCGTTTCGGCGACGCTCGTTTATTTCCGCTTCTGCAGCCCTTCTCTTAATACGATCAGCTAGGCTGAGGTCCTCACGGACATATATTCCGGACCCAATCAGTTTACGTGAATTACTTAGAACCAGGTTCCTTTCTTCCACCGTGTTGAATGTAACCTTTAGGAGGCGGTTTTTCTGAGGACTTTCGGAATCCACCTTTTTTCCTATTCTATAAAGCTTACAAATACTAACTCCTGAAACTGTATCTGGGAGTAGTTTACTTAATGATGTCTTAATATGATTAAGATCATGTTCAAATCTTGTCTTTGGTTCAGTGTCTGAAGATTCTCTTATCTTATGAAAAATGACTGATCTCTCAGAGAGATCTATCTTTTCACGCGGTGAGGATTTTTCTTCTGATAAAGTCCCTTCCAATGTCTTGCTGACCAGCTGCGTTTTGCCTACAGCCTTTTTCTTCTTATTTTTTTTTCTTCTTACCGGAGTCCATTTGTCACCACTCAGAACAGCCACACCTGGACTATGTGGAACGGTGATAGTTTTATCCTGATCTTCTATTTCGACTAGAGGTGTATGACTGCCGATGTCAATATCAGGCGACACTTCATTTCTCGTTAATGTCAACGGAGATTTCACAATCCCGTCAACCGCAGTCAGGTGTTTAATGGGTCTAGTAACAGCACTTACTACACTGACACATTCTTCATCGTCAGTACTCCTGTTATCAGTGCTTCCGCCATCGTTTTTCTTGCAGGCCAAAGCCAATAGGCCCATAGCCTCCTGTATTAGTACCTTTTTATCCGTACAGCAGAACACACAAAGCCAATGCGAGTTAGGTTTCGAGCATCTTTTGTAAGCCGTCGGACTTAGTCGTGTACACATTTTGTGATACCACTTTTTACAGTCGTCACACTGCATTCCCTCCTCAACGGAGAACAAACAATTTGGTTGCCCACATTTGTGAGTCTTACCAACCATTGTAATTCGATTTAAAAGGTTTAAAAACAAAAAACGATAACAATGTGAACACAAGTCTTAGTCAAGGACTAAAAACAGGTACCCAGGACAAAATGTAGCAAAAAATTTCAAACCTTAACCAAAGAACTCTTAGTTAAAGTAGACCAAGAATGCGTTTTAGTGCAATAAGTACCAAAAGCAAGTGTAATCACAACAAGTACAAAAATCACTGCCCTTTTTGAAATTCCGCGCGTCAATAACGTACCGAATAATATCGTACTAACATAAGCGGAAGAAAGTAATAACCTAATACTCTTCTCGGACATGCTCTTGAATTGATGGGTCGATGAAACAAAAAGGCGGTTAGTTTATAAGTAGCCAACCCGACCTGGTCGATGTTTAAATTTCCAGTTTCTGTCTATTGCAACATAAGCGAGGTTTGATAAAGCGCCTTTTTTGACAGGACTCAAACAATATAAACCACGTATAATCGTTTGAAGAAGATACAAAACTGCTGACCAATACACATACCAAACGGTTACCCACTAAATTTCATAAATAGGTGCAAAATTCTGTTAACACCAAAACCCCTTTAATTCCGCTGCAAAGAAAAATGCTTATACTTCTCTACCACTTAAAGGTGGATCTAGCAAGGTGATTTACAGACTGACTAAAAGCAGCCATTGAAAAACATTACGCTGCTAAATTGGTTGTGATTGAAGTGACTAAGCCCGTGATTTTAAATGGACCTAGACGCTGCACGAACGATCACGTCACATCCGATTGCACTTACTAATTTACATTTTTGTGTGGACACATATATAGGGGAGAGTAATCGAATATTGCGATCAAAGGTTATGGAAATTGTGCCTAGATGGCTTCAAAATCAGTTCATGTCAAATGTTCCGGTAAACGTGGTAAGTAAAAAACAATGTTCATCGTTACAAAAGTATACAATTGAAACGGCACTTAGGATTTACATTAATACGGCTTTTGTATAGAAATTGTCAAGGATGAATTCTCAGGTTTATAGAAGCCTTATCTTTTCGCAAATTCAAACCCATCTTATGTGCCTTTAGTTTTATTGTTCCATAATTGTTAGTTCATATTCGGTTTGATAAATTCTCATTACATTTTGGACGTTCACTACCTCAATCCTCTGTGACTGTCATTGTTTTGCATTCGAAATATCGGTTGATTTGTGATTGTTTTTGTTGCATGTAAGTGTATCTGTTGCTTACATCATATCTATTGTAACTATCCGGTATTTTTTAGATTCCTCTGAGCAGCTAGTTGTGTTGTTACAAAAAATTATATCTGTCTTCTGGGTGAATTTTTCACAGAGACTATGCCATTGATGATTCTTCCATTTTGATTTTTTTTTACGAAATAAGTTTAACAAATGAATCCCACATAAGTATCATAATAGATATATTCGCAAGTAGTTTTATGGCATGCAGAGTCTTCTGGTAGCACTGAGCAACAATGCCAGAATGTTTGGGATGTGCTTCTCTCCCTCTAAATGCAAGTTGTTGCTTCAGGACTGGTCTGCGTCAACACCTGAACTAAGGATAGGGAGTGAAGTAGTCGAACGCGTCGACAACTTCACTTATCTTGGAAGTCTGATCAGCCCTAATGGGTTGGTGTCTGACGAAATCTCAGCACGGATTCGAAAAGCTCGATTGGCTTTTGCCAACTTGCGCCACCTATGGCGAAGGCGAGATATCCGTCTATCAATAAAAGGACGAGTATACTGAGTGGCAGTCCGTTCTGTCTTACTTTACGGCAGCGAAACATGGCCTTTAAGAGTAGAAGACACCCGTAAGCTACAAGTATTTGACCACAGATGCCTTAGAAATATTGCTGGCATCTGCTGGGATCACCGGGTAAGTAATAGTGAGGTTAGACGCAGGGTATTAGGGAATGATGGTAAATCAGTTGATGAGGTTATGAATCTTCATCGACTGAGATGGTTGGGCCACGTATTACGTATGCCTGAACACCGATTACCACGACGTGCAATGCTAACCGGTGTAGGGGATGGTTGGAAGAAAGTTAGGGGCGGCCAAACCAAAATGTGGCATCAGTGCTTGAAGTCACTAACTTCTAGTCTTAGCCATGTTGGTAGATGCAGACTACTTGGTTGGGGTCCGCGTGACTATCGTAACCAATGGTTGGAGACTCTTGGTGACATGGCTCAGAATCGATCACAATGGCGTCGGTGTATACACTCTTTGTCTTCCCTTAAACTAAGAGATTAAAATCACTTCATACGAACTAATTCTTCCTTCCTATACTATATCCTTATTGCAACCTTTGACCTAACCACTCCTATGAATCCGGTGTTCATCTTGTTGTGCTAATGAGGTATGGCAACCTGGACCGATGCACATATGTGCCTGGTCCTACGTTGTAGCTGACTGACTGACTGACTGATGTTTTGGTATGGTATTAGAAAATTTGAGTGTATAGGGATTTATTCTTGACAAGCACAAGTTATTTGAAATGTACTTCGTGATCCATAGTAAATAACAGAAAAAAGCCACAGGTATGTTTTGTTACAGACGTTTCCGACGAATTCCTGGTCTGCATTGTAACTACGGACTTGGTGTTTTTTAAGTTACTCCTGGAATTTGAGGACAAGATTGTTGACTAATCTATTGAAAAGACTTGTACATGTGTCATGCCTCCTAATTTTCATCGGAATACAAGCAGACCTACTCAAATGAAGACGGACACATTGAAGATTTCAGTGTTAGTAAATATAACGTATTTTTCTAAACGATGATCATAGACAGATGTCATAAAATAAGTATAGTTTGTAGCAACCTATGTGTATGGTGACCTATTGATTAAAGCACTTGACTTTCTCAGGTCCCAAACCTTCTTCAACAGGTTTGTATCATTAGCTCAGACAAAATGTCTTACTTAAAACCGGGTAAACAGATATTAGTGCAATGTAAACACCCCAATATTTACTGGTCAACTCCTGTAATTTGTTTACAGAGACGTACGCGCTTCATTAATATCTAAATAAGACAGAAACAGTCGTTATAACTTCTACCAATCATTCTTTTACTGTTCTTTCTTTATATTATTTATTGTGAGGTTCCTTCAGATGGAGATTGCCTTTATCAGTCAATTGGGCATCAATTAAAAATTCGGAATTATCCATTACACACATTAATAGGAAAGATTGAAATGTCTAATCCAGAAATTCTTAATGATATTACTACCGATCTGACAATGAAACAAGTAGTGAAAATTTTGCGTCATCTTGCATCGTATCACATTCGCAAAAATATGGATGATTTCCTACCATTTTTGTTCAACCCAGATTCTGGAGAACCAATGAGTATAGGTATTTTAGTTTAATTGATTGTCGTAATTTCATGCACATATTTCTCAACAAAGTTCTTTTTTAAAATATAATTCGGTTATTACGACTTATTTAGCTTAAAAGGTAGATCCCATCAGCTGTGGACCTGTTGAAAATAAATTAGCACTGAATCGCTGTTTACCTTAACATTCCCTTATTCACAACTTCACACGTAGTCGTATAACCCCCAGGAGACTTTTATTTGTTGTACTGTACACGATATGACTGGTTGAGTGAGTGATAACGGATATTAACTTTTTTATTGGTCAAAGGGATAAGTAAAAATCATAACCTGTCTACTATGAACGTGTTGAGCTTAGTGTAACGTGACATCTCGGATAAAAACGCAAATATAGTAAATATTAGGGCTAAAAGTGTAATATGTACTGAAAATCACACTAATATCTAGCAACCACCTAACAACCGAGTAGAGAATCGACCGAATACTCGAAGTACGACATAATTAGTGAAAATCGCAGACAAACTCAGCGATAAAAACTTATTGAATTATTTGAATGATCAACTGAATGCATTAATTACCTTGTACTCTGTTGTATTGATGGACTAAATTTCGTTGTATGGTTTGAAAACTACAACTTTATATGTTGATTTATTTCTGTCCCCTATTCTAGTACTCACTAAAATCGGGAAAAGCTAATTTATCATCTCAGTCGTATGTGTTTATTTAAATGTGTACTAATTAATTTAATTCATTACAAATTATTTTTTTAAATTATGCCAAAACCTTACAGTCTTGTATCGATTTGGGTATTTTAAAACACTTTATCATATTTGACATGATCCTGTAGTTTGTGAATTCTTTCGTGTCACTCAAGATTGAGATTCTCTTTATCTGACTGTTGTCACTGCCCAGAATCGTTTGTTCTGTCTTAGGGCTATATCTTTGAAATAAAGCTAGTTGTTATATTACTTGTCTGGTCTAAATTGTAACTGCCCCCAAATGCCCTGGTATGGCCGAGAGTGGGGAGAGTCCGCCCTCCCTCTCGAAATGCTCTCACATGGCCACGCATATATAGCCTCTGCCAGGGAAGTCCTACTCACTGCCTTCTCGTGGCGGGGGTGTTGTTTTCGAAATTGAGATGACGAAAGCGAATATCCGACGTTCTAATTGGTTGTTGGATATGGGGGACCCACGTGGGGGAGTTGGAAGACTGGTTCCGTGGACCCGGGTTTCGTGTTACTTGGCACTCGTCAGCAAGATGTACCTATAATCTTGAGGGAACTGGTGCTCCCTTACGGATTCGATCCCGTGTCATCCAGCTTCACAGTCAGAGACGTTACCACTGAGCTATCCGGGCTGCGACCGACCCTAATCGTCCCGATTACTGCTTTTACTTTTACTACCTCTACCACTACGGGATTCGAATCTACAATTGTATCTGCATGTTAATGTGGTATGGCAGCTCGAACCGATGTACGTACGTACGGAGTTCTACGTTGTCGACTGACTGACTGAAACAAGTCACGTAAATATTAGTGTAGTTTGAAGAGATTATGAGAAAGCGAGGAAGAGCAGCAAAACGTCTCAAAGTCTCTATCATGTACCCATTTTTTATCTTTACTTATTACCCTATGCTATCCTGACCGTTGCTACTACCTTGACGTAGTAGTCGGGCTTGACTATCGTTATGAACCACTCGGGTTATACTGGCTGGAACAATCATTCTTCAAGGTCCTACCATGCCAGATAGGTCGGCAGCTCAACCAAGGTCTGAGGGTGAAGTCGTACTACTGACCGTACAGAGGTGTGACGTCAGCAAAGTGTTTCCTTCAGACGACCAGCATGACAGCGATACTGCCTTCCCACAAGGAAGGGTGAGGTTAGAAGAGGTCAACCCTAAAAATGCGCACCTCGCCTTATCCCACAGATTTCTGTATCCGTCGGTAAGGTCCCAACAAATACACTAAAATTGCTCGCAAAAAAGTCGTGTGTGACCGGCCTCAAGCAATTTTCCCTTAGGTATTTCAGTCACGCTCTCAGGTCACTAAGACCACCTCTAAACGAATTTCCTTAACAGATACCTCTATAAGAACCCTTCCGCTGTGTGGGCAACCAGGAAGTGGTAACCGCCCTCACACCTATATCAGCACTCAAGACTGACTGACCCTATGCCTAACTTCACCATAACTCACTCGGTTTTATTAAAATACACAAGCAATACTTCAAAGACATGTATGATCGAAAATAGTAACCTGTAAATATCCTCTATTCTTAACTTCTATGTTTCACACCCATAAAGTAGAGTAGAGTGAACTGCTGCACAATAAACTCATTCTTTAGTTGGTATACAAATATCTCGCTTTCTGAACTCATGCGGAGATTTTGTTGCACAACACCACATCAGGGCTGATGAAACTTTCAAGATAAGTGAACCAGTCAGCCCGATAAACTACTTTTTGGCTCAAATCTGAGTAATTTCATGCAGTTCTTTCCATTGATGAATTCGGATAAGGCAAAACAACAAATGTGCCTGGTTAATATGAATTTATTTATGATGCGGAATTTGTTCACTTGCTTACATATTAGAAATAACAGTAATAATCATTTGAAACCAATACCAATGTATTATATTAATGAAAATTGGTAAAATAACCACAATACTTACGGAAGAGTTATGAAAGTTGTTAAGTGGTTTAATATCTGTATGTTAACTAGTGTGAAAATTGTTGAAGGAAAATGTTGAAAATACATGGAAACAACGTTCTAGGAAATGAAGAGTGCGTAACAGAAACTTAAAATCGATAGGTTTATAGAGTAAAGTGAAAAGAACTTTAAAGAACGATCTAGAAATTAAAAAGTATATATATATATATATATATATATATATATACAATATTATGCAATTAAATTTCGAAGCTGAACTCACTAGTAAATATCATAAATATTCAACTATTTGAATATTTTATAGTTCTTCATATTTGTTGTCCTTTTTACCAATCTTCATTTAAACGTTAGAAATAATATACACTGATTTTTGATAAGTATTAATAATAAACGGAGTATGGTAATGGGTAGCAATGAAATACAGGACATGTTTTATCCTTTTTGTAACCCAGCTGAATATGAGGTCACCTCAGTGTTGCTGTTCACATCGGGACTCAAACCAATTATCGTTCACTTCAAATGCCGTCGCGTTATCCACTTAGCCACTGGTTTGTGTATTGGGACGAATTTCAACTTGTATGTATTGTTTGTTCGAATCTTCTAATCGATTTCGAGGATTGCAGTTGTTTAATGTCTTTTGGCAAATGTGGATTCTATGCACATTGCCCTTATCTTACCATTAAGTCACGAAGATTTTACGATGAGTTGATTGGTGGCTAGCAGTGGTATCCAAGATGCTCCTTTCGTCCAATTTAGAACTCGTGTGCTCCTAGTGGTTGTAATTTAATGGCAATATCGAGGCATTACGCACATATGTCGAACGAGACAAATTAATTGTGATTCTCGACATCACCAATGCGAAGATTTAAGCAATCATTACATTAGAATATTAATGCTGTTTCTAGATTTTAATCAGCTAAAGAGAACCTATGGGATGAAAATGAATTCATATAATTCTACTATTTTTGTTGTTTTTGCTTTAATCCAATCTGAGTATATTACTTTATAACTTTAATTGTTGAGTTGCGGTAATTACTCCCAGTTACTTTTTTCACTATGGACATTTCCATCTTTTGATATATAGTATATTCACCTGAAAAAACTGATAAATTAATTCAGCTAACTCCAACAAAGTTATTAGCTAGATATCTTAAAGTATAAAAGAGTTAATTTAAATAACTATGCATCTTCAATCAATGATTCATTAGCTAATCAAGACAAAATTAACGCTATGATGATATTCAAGTGTGAAGAAATGGTAATATCATCGTCATAATGTAAACTAATAATATGCTGAAAGCTAATTTCAGTAAAAAAAGCTTTAGTTTGCAAAGACGCTCATTAAATCACAGAGGAAACATAATATGTTCAAGATCTATTAAGAGGAATACAGTGTATTAAATACAACTGTGATACATCATTTGATCCTGGAAAACCATGTCACCCACGCCTTTAATCATATATAATAATTATTTCATTTACTTCTAACCATGAAAGTTCCAACCACTAAGATGACTTAGACTATCTTATATACTGACTGCCTAAACTGACGCCATGTCCAAGTTTAATCTCGTCTCATCTTTTACAGTTCGCTCATATACTAGCGCAAGCACTGATTTTCTGCATCGGTATGTAAAACACGTCTGTGTTCTAACCCACTAACGTATCCAGATTGGTTATAAGTTATAAACGGTTGTCAACTAACGCTTTTTAACTGTATGTTTATAATCTATATTACAGTGAATTTATTTAATCTCTGCAGTCCTAATGAAGTAAAATTTTCATCTTTAACAATCAACAATAGTTGTAAGAGTTTCTTGAAATTATGATTAAACCTGGAAATATTCATTTTGAATCGTAAATATATTGAATAACATTGTAAGAATTTTTTGACAATTTCACTTTCCTCTTATTTGAAGCTAATTTTGAACAATATTGTGACAATATAGAAAAAATATCAACGTGGGGTGGACAAATTGAAGTTAGTAACAGTGCTCTTTTCATATTTTTTGTCTATTGACTCATATGTTTTGTTCTTGTTGATTTGAGAAATTAATGTTGTGTTTATTTATCAGATAATCTACTGTTAAATTGTATTTAATTTACCCTTCTTATATGTTGTTTGTATTGAGTAATAATTTCCTCTAAGATTGTGTTACACATGTGTCTTTCAGATCACTTGTAATTTAGTAACTAATTTGTTTATAATGTGTATTTTTACAAGGTTGACTTGTGATTGTTTATATTTTATAGGAGATGCATCTGTTTCCTTAAGGTTGTATACATGTTCTTCCAATGAGTCTGCTATTTACTGATATGTAACACTATTATTCACTATGCTATTGTAAATAACTTAGCAGTCACATTCCATTCACCCTCTATGGTTAAAAATTTATTTCCATTTTGAATATGGATGGTTGTTTTACAAAGTGATTACTTAAGATTAAAGATAGTCTTCGTCATGAACTGGACTTCTGAAAGCTATATAGTGCTAGACATAGATTTTTGCATTAGGCTACGGCTCTTCATAAATAATCTCCCTTTACCCCGCACTGGTTCGAACCCTGGACCTCCAGGTATCATGTAGAGTTCGTTGACATTAGAAATGTGAATCACCAAATTTTCAGTCAATGTTATAGATGTATCATACCACGAAATAAAGGTTTTCGTTCATTCCCGTATTGGGATAGTGAGTGATCACATTAGGACGAAACGACTGTCCAGCCCTACTTTGTTTTCATGCTTCTCTAAGTAGTATTATTTTGCGATGAAAGCTCCCTACCATCTTTTTTTTCTCTTCCCATTCTCATTGTTTTGTGTGGCGCTTACATATTTGGTGCCCTCTTGTACCAATATTTGTGTTCAAATAAAATAATAAATTTTTGTAATTAAAGTAGTCTCCACAATCTGCTCCACTAAGCAATTATATATATATGATCAAAAAGGATTGAAAAGTGTGAAAATATGGTTACATGAGTCCTGGATAAAAGTTAAAATACAAAGCAGGGAGAGAAACTAAAAAAATAACAGTGCTGTCAAACAAATCGCTTTAGAGGGATTTTCAGAGCATTCATTCAGTTACAATCGCTAAAAGTAGGGTATTAAATTGACTTATTCTCTATGTACTTTGGTATCAGCCACACTAAATGTAACGGATAATGAAACTACGCGATCGCTCAAAATTGAAGTAGTTGGAAAGGCATTAAAACATAGGGAACTTAGTAACTAAAACTCAAACATAGCAATGAACTAATGACCTAATTGTTAGTCTTGATTCTTCAGTATCATATCGACTGTTTTCGTTGTATTTTCACTTTTCGTTCACGTTTTATTTAACAGATCCGTGCCTTATCTACAATGCTTCAACTTCCTATTGAAATATTACAAGCTGAAGGAGTCCCGTTAATTATTGGAGAAGAGTTTTCTGAAGAGCCACCAATCACTATTGTGTAAGTTTATTAAAGTACAGATACTAATCATTTTTCATTTTCTTAGAATGTCAGTATTATTATTCGTTTGCTTTATATATATATATATATATATATATATATATATATATATATATATATATATATATATATATATATATATATATATATATATATATAAAATTATGATTAAAGAAGTCATTCAGTTTTAATCAACATAGAGCCGTTGTGACATATTTCGAACCGTATCACTCAATATCTCCAACCACTTGTCACGGTTATCAAATGAAGTCAAACCAGATAGTTTTCACTGTCAACGTTGATCACATCATCAGCCAATGATTTCAGAGACTAATTCAACCACCCTAAACTTCCTCCCAACTTGCTTTTACACCAATAAACATCCTCCGTCGAAGTATGCAATGTTTACCTACCTACTTACGCCTGTTACTCTTAAAAGAGCATAGGCCGCTCACCAACATTCTCCATCCAACTCTGTCCTAGGCAATCCTTCCCAGCTCTTTCCAGTTGTAATTCATCCTTTTCATATCTGCTTTTATTTTCCGATGTAATGTGTTCTTTGTCCTTCCTCTTTTCCGATTCCCTTCAGGATTCCATGTTAGGGCTTGCCTCGTGATGCAGTTTGATGATTTGCGTAATGTATGTCCTATCCATTTCCATCGTCTTTTCCTAATTTCCTCTTCAGCTAGAAGCTGGTTTGTTCTCTCCCACAGAAGGCTGTTGCTGATGGTATTCGGCCAGTGGCTGTTGAGTATTTTGCGTAGACAACTATTTATAAATACTTGTACCTTCTTGATGGTGGTTGTTGTTCTCCAAGTTTCAGCTCCGTACAATAGAACTGACTGCCTTGACGTTCGTATTGAAGATTGTGACTTTGATATTGGTTGAAAGTTGTTTTGAGTTCCATATGTTCTTCAGTTGTAGGAATGCGACCCTTGCTTTACCAATCCTCGCCTTTACGTCTGCATCTGAACCTCCTTGTTCATCGATGGTGCTTCCCAGGTATGTGAAGGATTCCACATCTTCGAGAGTTTCGCCATCAAGAGTGATTGGATTAGTGTTCTCCGTGTTGTATTTGGGGATCTTGCTTTTTTCCTCATGTATGCTGAGGCCTACTGATGCAGAGACTGCTGCTCGAGTGGCTGTCTTTATCTGCATTTGTTCGTGTGTATGCGACAGGAGGGATAGGTCATCTGCGAAGTCCAAATCGTCTAATTGATTCTGAGCTGTCCATTGTATTCCGTGTTTTCCCTCAGATGTCAAGGTCTTCATAATCCAGTCGACCACCAGAAGAAAGAGGAAGGGAGAGAGTAGACAGCCTTGTCTGACTCTGGTCCTTACTTGGAATGCATCTTTTAGCTGTCCTCCATGCACTACTTTGCACTGTAGTCCGTTGTATGAATTCCGGATGATATTGACGATCTCAGATACTCCATAGTGTCAAAGAAGTTTCCATAATGTTCTCCTATCTACACTGTCAAATGCCTTTTCATAATCAATGAAGTTAATGTGTAGTGACGAGTTCCACTCAACTGATTGTTCGACGATGATCCGTGGTGTCGTGATTTGGTCTGTACACTAGCGATCCTCACGGAATCTAGCCTGCTGATTTCGAAGTTGGGCGTCTACTGTGTCTTTCATCTGGTTCAGCAACACTGTTAAAGACTTTTCCTGGTACTGACAGTAGTGTGATTCCTCTGTAGTTTTCACATTTGTTCAGATCTCCTTTCTTTGGAATATTGATGGGGTGTCCCTCTTTCCAGTCCATCGGCACTGGTTCCTCCTCTCAAATATCCTTGAATAGAAGGTGAGGCATGTTTGTATTTACTTCGGTGTCTAACTTTAGTGCTTCAGCTGGTATATTGTCGGGCCCTACTGCTTTCCCGCCCTTAATTTGTCTGGTGGCCATTCTGATTTCTTTCGTCGTTGGTGGATTGACATCTATATGAAGATCTGTGTGTGCTGTTTCGATGTCCGGTGGATTCATCGGAGCCGGCCTATTCAGGAGTTCCTCGAAGTACTCCATCCATCTGTTCCATTGTTGTTGAATTTCGGTGATTGGCCTGCCTACGTTGTAGCTGACTGACTGACTGATTGGCCTGCCTTCTTTACCCTTGACCGGTTATGCAATGTTTGGGCATACGTAACTCTTGTTCAAACCACCTCAGTCAATGAAAAATTACAACCTCACTAGCCGATTCACTATTTTTGCCTAGCATTATTTGCGTAATCTTAGCATCTGTCATTTAGGTAGGATTGAGTATTAGATAAACAAGACAAGTTGATAAGGCTGTGAAAAACAGTCTCGTACAATTGACTTTTGATCTGCTTTCTTGTTTACCCAATTTTTCTGTATTTTTCCGCATTAAAAAATCCTAACTTTCAGATACCACCGTTACGCGTTCGCTCTCGGTGAACACTACAATTCCTGTTTAAAGAAGCACGAATTTCAATGATGATTCTTAAGAGAAGAATGATAAAGGACTTCCATGTAAATAATAATTACTTAACCATTGCGTATATTATAACTGTGCTAATATTATTATTTGATCAAGATTAACATTCGTTTTTCAAAGAGAAAGAGACTCTAAAATGTAATATAGTTCCATTGGGGTTCAAAATTTATTTTATTTAGTAATAACTCTTTACTGGAATAAAATACAACACTGCGGATTTCACTATATTTTGTAAATGTTCTAATTTTCGTTGAAATTTGAGGAGCATTTCATTTGTTTTGTATATTTCTTGTAAACAATTTTATATATTTGTGCTGCGACAATTTACCATTGTCACCATATTAGGGTGGGGAGGCTTTCAAGCCACTAGATGGTGTAGCTTTAATGTACTACTATGTATCTCTAGGCAATTGTACTCTCCCAATTAACTGTAAATTAGGATTAAGGCTAGCAGTTAATAAACAAATAGATTCTATATGTCCATTTTAACATAATTCTACAACTAGATGCAAGAGATAAAAATGGTTGGTCAAGGTTAATTGCTCGCTCGAATGTTTGTTTGGAAGTAATGTCTCACTATGTTCATCAATTCACATTGATTAATATTTGAAATCGAATTACTACGAATTGGGATTCTATTAAACAGATTAACCTATAGCCAGTATAGTGACGATGCAAACGAATATCACACTGAATTAGTTCGCAGCTTACTGCAGAAACTTAGTTCATAGTGTCATGGAAATACGAAAGTCGCTACCAAGGAAGAAGAACAACTGATCTGTGCAGTTAAGCGCTTTAAACCACCCCACTAAGAAGACCCCTCATATTCGTATTACACTGCGGCGTGGTATAAAAGATAGATGTGTGCAACTAGAATTTGCTTGTCACTCACGGTTCATTAGTCGAAGTCCACGAGATTTATATTCTCGTCGCTTATATCTGAAAAAACAAGAAACCACTGCAATCATCACGCTAAATAACAACAACAATACTGATACAAATATAGATTTCTTTGCTCCACTAGATGACGACCCTAGTTGAAAGTACACCCCATTCGATTACTAATTAGTATGAAATCACACATTAAAAATACCCAGAGATATGACAGATCACATTCTGCTTGTCATGCTGAGCATGGTTCACGTTAATTTGATACAAGAATATCCTATCTCAAATAGATTAGTGTCATGCCGAATGAAATATTGTTCATTGACATAACTCAGTTCAAATATACAGGAAGTTGGTTGATGGTTGCCATTTTTGCTTTGTAACTCACAAATTGCACAAAACATTGTGAGCTTATGGTGCGAAATGGGTAAATATAAGTACAAACTAAACAGAATATACCGTAGCAGTACTTTCTTAAGCAGGTACAGTCACTAAGTACGGCAACACCAACTATAGGTCACTGGGCGATTAGAACTTTGAGAATTAGATACTTGACAGAAAGACATCTCAAGAAATGTATGGAGAGTGTTCTGTCCCAGAGGGATGCACCGCATCGAATTCCTCAGGAAATAAGTAGTTCTAATAAGATAGTCTTGTATATAGTATGTCACATGCTTAGGTTTTTGGTCACCATTCTCTTACTGCTGAGTGACTTAATGCAATTATTGCCCATAAAATTCTCTTTCGTAAGCGGACAGCAAAACAAAAACGAGGTTAGGGTTTATTATAAGAAGACAAAACATATATAAAGTAATATCTCTGCTTTATCACATTCTGGTCATCGTACTAGTATTTAATAGGTGGCGCAAACCACCGGAGAAAGTCATCAAGGAGAATCTTGAACGGGGTTATAGTTTTCCTGCAGCGAAGGTTTACTGGGAGTCTGCTCCACATGGTTGAATAACGTCTGACAAATAAACTTTGGCGAAATGTTTTATAGGTTCACCGAGTCAATAGAGTATGCTCTTTATTGCTCAGGTTGTGGTATGATGTAATGGAGTACGAAGGGGTGGATGCTAAAGATTTAAAAAATGCCATTTATGAGCCATTGGATAAAGGCAAGGTTTGGTTTAATGCGCCTGATTCAGAGACTCTAACTTCAGTTGATGATAATGCTCCTAAGCAGCTTTGGTGGATCTTCTTTGGGAAACTTCAATTTTCATCAAATCATTATCGCTGCAATTACTATAAACTAAACTGCTATATTCAACGATGAGTATGATACATTTATAGATAATATTAATCTAGATTCCGTGTTACTGAAATTTATCATTATAAATTCTATGTGATTTCTTGCTTTGGATACTTGGGAAGCAATATGTTTGGAGGAGTTCATATTGTTGCTATACCTCAAACCCAAGTCATGAACGATACTGAGAGGTTTCAGTGTGTGTTTGTGTTTAGCCAGATCTAGATTAGAGCTACGGCGAATGTAAGCAAATCCACTTTCGTCAACATTCAGTGACAGTGTTCACGACACAGATCGTCCGTATAACTTATTTATGTTTTCTTGGATTAACGCTGAAATTTACTTTTAGTAGAATACAAGAAAAAATAAACCACTTTAAGGTGGTAAACAAAAATAAGACATAAAAGTCCAACTTTTCTAATATCTTGTCATTTTCCGTAGCTTTTTTGGTAACTTAAAATGTTGCTAGTAAACCTGTAGAATTATGGTCTACGATATGCAAATGGTTGCACAGCCATTCATGAATCGATGTAAATGTACATTACCACTGTCGAATGCCGACTCACTGGTCTAAAGCTGATATGCTTGCGTACGAGATCGAAGGGCCTGGATTTGAATCCCACCTGCAGAACTGTGGACGCGCATTGCTAAGGAGTGTCATGTTAGGAAGTCTGTTACTTCCAGGTTTCCAATGGTGGTCTGGCTTATATCGACCCATGAATTCAAGTTACTACAGTCCCCACAAACTCCATATCCGTATTAGCCTTCAAGTGCCCTGGTACGGCCGAAGGTGGGAAGAGTCCGATCTCCTCAAAACGCTCTCACATGGCCGCTCGTACACATTCACTGCCAGAGAAGTCCTACTCACTGCCTTCTTGCGGGGGGGGGTGTTGTTAACTAAATTGAGAGGATGGAAGGCGAATATTCAGTCTTCTTTCATCTCCAGCCACACTTCAGGAAGTGATGAATAATGTAATCAGTGGTCCTGGAGGTGTTGAAGTTTATCAAGATGACCTCATTGTCCATGGTTCTAATAAGGTAGAACATGACCAGAGCCTTGTAGAATTATGATCTACCTCGTTATTAGTACCACTTTAATAATAGTCTTAATCCTAAGATTGCGGATTTTTTATGACGTAACTACCTAATCTATGAGATCGTACGTGTAAGTCACATCATTGTCTACACCAACTCATTGCATCGTAACAATTATCAATATATGATGGAGAACAAACTTAGGATAGGGATGGAACAATATATTGAATATGAATAAAAGATTATGTAACAACACTTAAGAGTGATCACACCTGCAGGGATGCGCCATGCCGTCCAACCAATTCGAATCCATTGAATTTTTTTCCTCCCGCCCTCTCCATCGTCGGGTTTTTCTCCGCATCAAATGTTGAATATGTATTTTCCCAGTTGTCTACAATACGTCTATATCTCATAAGAGAAACTCGTTGGTACTTTTGGTATATACTCAATGTCATACGGAAAGGTTAGATTGCTAAGTTGAGGCGTAAATTTCCTGACTATGATTACATAGACTTTTTAGCGATGCGATCGCTTGTCTGTAGTGGCATTGGAACCTAGTCACACGATCTTTAAAGCTGAAAACGAGATAACTGGGAAAATTCATATCCAACATTTGATGCGGAGAAAAACCCGACGATGGAGAAGGCGGGAAGAAAAAATTCAATGGATTCGAATCGATTGGACGGCATGGCGCAACCTTGCAGGTGTGGTCACTCTTAAGTGTTGTTACATAATCTTTTATTCATATTCAATATATTGTCCTATCCCTAGCCCGGATTGGACCCAACGGGTCACGGCTTCTCGCTAGAACTTCAGTAACGAGCATATGATGATTATTATCATCATGGAGTTTATGAAGATTGTAGTAATTTTAATAGAACGGAACGACCATTCACTGCCTTCAGGTTTTCAATAATAATAATAATAATTTATTCTCAGATAACATTTTGTTACATGAGGCATGCCAGTTTACAGGCAAGATCAAATTGATACAAATGATACAATATACACTGTATTAAATTAAATAGCTGGGTTGAAAATTTATTAGACATGAATGTAGATTGTTTTAATCAGTACTATAGTTGGCGCGCTTCACGAGAGTTGCGTTGCGAATGTGCGACTGATGGTCAAGAATAGGTCCATTGAAGGTATGAGCTTCTAGAAATCGCAACCTTATGTCCCTTTGGGATATCCAAGGCCTTAAGGATGGTGCAGGATGAAGTAACCTGTTCCATATCTCACGGGGGCTGAAAGAGGGAGCAAGTAGAAGAAAGGAAGAGAGGCAGAGTAGCCAATATTCATGTAGGAATGTTTAAGGTATGATTACTCAGTCTAATTTTCTTTTATTAAGGTATTTGTTAAGAAAGAGCATTTTAATAGGTTAAAGAAAATAAGCTTTAGCAAGGTGTGAGTGGACATACAATTGACAAATGGAGGCGATTCGGAAAAGAGCTGAGAGTATAAGATTATGTGTGATTATAAAATAAAATATAGTGCTAGTAACAGTATTGTGATATACAACTGGCTATCTTCTTTTTATTATCGAAGCTATTAGAGCCCCTTTCGTTTTTTTTATTTGTTTTTTTCAGGTTTTATAGGATTTTGAGTAGGCTTCGTATATTAGCGAATTGTCTAGTTTGCTTATAATAGGATTTCTGAGTAGGAAGTGAAACCAATTCAACGTTCGTAACACGATTTAAAGAGGTATTTTGCGTGATAAATCAGCTTCAATACCATAAGTCCGTGACATCCCACTAAACCATAAGGAGCCGTAATTAAACAAAATGTTCTGCCCTACAGACATGGGTGGATTGAATTTATCTCCCCTCCTTCATGTTTGCTGGTCAGTAACGCCACCCTGCCTCCTTTTGTGATGTTAGGCTCTCTTACGTTTGTGGTAAGTATGATTAATGCTTTAATCAAAGCACATAGTTGGAATACACTGTCTCTACTAGGTCCATGTTACAAGCAAATCAGATATTTAAAAATTCTGTTTTATGGGTTAGATGTCCATATAGTATATCACACTGCAATGAAAATAACTAATGGTTTAAAGAAGTAAGGATTAATAGTAAATCAAAAGATATGAGAGGGTATAAAATTGTAGAAAAAAAAGACTTTAGGGTGAGAAAAATAAAACATTGAGAAACTCACAAGACTTTGTGGCCAAATTTTGAGCTTTGAATGATCGGCCTTAGTAGATCAGCATCCATAAGATTGAGCTATCTGTCTACTTGCAGTAGAAAAAAAAGCATGACTTTTAGGAAGAATAATGTACATTTAACCTGTAGAGATTTAGGGACTGAAAGCTAGGGTTA